CTCAAATGTACAGATTGTACAAAGCAAGCGTTCAACACAACGGTATACTAAGTGCAATGAATACTGAAGTGATGGCTCAAGCACCGATAATGATTATTGACAAAAGAAGTTTTTAAATGTCTCTTGGCAATTTGTTAACCAACCTTGACCACTCAAATAAGTTCACAAGTGATATTTTCTTAAGATACTCATTCAAGCGATTTTTTGCCAAGTAGGTAACCATATGACATAGCATGTTAATTGGCGGTCCGTGAAGATAACTAAAAAGTTCTAGAGTTCTTATTTTTATTTTCAGCAAGAATATAGTAAATGCGTACTATTTATTGGATGCCCATTAACCAATATTGGAAATAATTCAGCATAGCCCATAGAACAAGCTTTACGGTAATCTTCTTCTTTAAAAACCTAAGTGTGCACATGCAGCGCAACACAATTGTCCACCAATGCCAAGGCAGTCAAGCATATGAGATAAAGCCATGGCTTCACAGATAGGCGGAATGATGTCAAGGCAACCTAAAAATATCGTCATCTATTAGAATTTAGACAATTCATCTAGTCCTACTTTTAACGGGTCTTGACGTTGGTTCAAAGGTCGAAACTGGCTCTTCGATAACCTTTGTGATCTCTTCTTCATTCTCTTCTACATTTGGGGCCTCAGTTGTCATTTCCTCCTTTATAAGATCGCCATCAGTGTTGAAGCTTTTACTTATGCACATGTCACAGCTGTAGATCTCGCAAACTTTGCGGTAATCACTGGGAGTAGCATCTTTCGATTTACCAATTATATCCTGAACTTCAAGAAAAATTATGGCACACCTAACGACATGGTAATGAAGGAAACCTGGAATTCAGGGTTCAGTGTTTCCATGGTGATATCTCCATTCTTTGTAAATGCTTTCGAATCATAATGCATAATTGATTTGTAATCGTATGGCACATTGTAGGTAGTTGCTTTTGGTGGAAGGACTTTATCAAATTGGTCCCAAAGAACTGAATTACTTTCCTTTTAAAAAAAGAGACTTGAGCCATTTCATTTGAGCCCACTTTCGTCAATGTTCTCGTAGTGGACCTTTATGTAATCATCACGATCATAGCGCATATGCTCATGCCACAATCCAA